CACAAGTAAACATTGCAAATTCAAGACCAAATCATATACAAAGTCCAATTCAACACATTGTAACACAATAACCTCAAAACGACGATACATTACATATGAACAAATATTCAAACAACCGCATACCACAAATTTTCAATCTCAGAACAATCAACAAAATTGGATCCCTTCACCGTTCCATTTCCCATCCAGCCAACATCCAAAACCCAATTCCCATCATCTCAATTTTTGCTTTCCCGCCACTTGAATCATCCCACGTTAACCCATCATCCGGCATCGATTTTGACACTAATTCAGACATCACCGTTTTTAATACAATTTCCCAATTTAATAACTCAGACATCGAAACCACAGACGAATTTGCAAACTCCGAACTCAGCCCATCAACATTTTCCCATCCCACCTTTCGACCCATTCACTCCCAGTCCACAAATGATTCCCCCTCTACCATTTCTCATATTTCCCAAGCAACCCCGACATACTCCCCCTTTACCAATGACCGTTCCAACAACAATTCCCCAGAAACCACACGAATTTCACAAGAACTAGATAATCTAATAACACTCCAACAACAAATACAACGTCCTCACACTCTAACCATTCACCAATTATCATCAACATAACATCATCAATTTCACCAACTCCTACACCCTCTTCAAATTATACCCCTTCTTTAGCTCAATCCTCAACATCAACCCATTCATCATCCACTACTAACCGTGCATATAAAACATTCAAAAGAAAATTTCCTAACCACCCGTTTCCCTCCAAACCCGGAACAACCCGCGATTATTTAAACCACCCTGACCACACTAATACTCCAGACTTTCTCCAAAATTCCCTACCCCTCTTCCCCCAATATACCATTAGTCATTCCAACCCTCACAATGAACAACCCTACTATGTCGATGAGCATGTACTAAACCCCACACTTCACTGGGCATCATTTTATTAGTTCTCAAATCCACTTTGTATACCACTAAATAACACACCTCACGAAATAGAAAAAAAGTAAACTTGACCTTTTTAGACTAACCACAGCACTAACACCTAGACAATTTACGCACGTAGGATATAAAAAATTACTAAACATTTTCACTGCACCCCGAGCTAATGATTATTCTATTGAACACTATGATCACAACATCATCAGACCTAATCAAGATCAATTTCTCGACAAAGATAAGGTCGCTAACCCACAACTAACCGAAAAATTTTTCATCCAACCACCCTGCATCTTTACACTAAGCTCACTAAATAAAAAACACGACCACATCATTTCCGAAGCACTAATCGACATCCAAGCCTATGAATCATTTTACGATAAACTCAAACTTTTCACTAACCTTTCACTTCCTCACTCCAAAAGAACGAGATCTGCACTGTTCACACGACATCATGTTACGAAGTAAACAAACGCAAACTTACACATATTATGGATTCATTCAAAATCATTTTGATTTACACACACCTTCACGACAACCCCACCATCATTTTCAAATTATTAATTCAAAGAACACTTCACCATTTTCCTTAAATTTCACATACTGTATTAAAAACACTAATTTCCAGGGCATCCTGAGAAGTTACGACCCAATAACCCAATTGTATATATTTTGTTCACTCACCAAGACCTTTAATGTGGAAGAATCCCGACCCCTCATTATCCCGCATGAATATATTCAAACTATAGAAATCCCAATATTAGAATTCATTCACAATACTAAATATAATCACAAGCTTTTTAACTTCATCCAGCACAGCAATCACGAGTATTCCGTTGGCACTGAAGAACTAAACATCATAAAAGCACTTCAATTGCTTTGGCCACTACTTGAAACTAAAAATATCATTCGCCTATTAGCAGTGTAACTAACCACATCAGATTCAATACACGATATCTTCCCTCATGGCTTCTTCCCCGATAATTAGGTAAGTACAAATTAAATAATTTAACACTAATAATCTCAAAACAGACTAACCATTTCTTATTAAATGTTTCTTCATTAGTCTTTAGATCACCATCATTTATAAACAAGAAAACAGAAAACAGAAATAAAAATTGCAAACTCTTTGATACATTATAATATTTTCAAATAGCAAACTATTTTAGTTCATAAACCTTTCTTAACTAACCGCAATAAATGACGCAAAAAAAAAATTATTCACCACAGCAGTAAATTCATCTATACATTTTTTTTTCCCAATGGGGTAAATCTAAATACACTGAAAATAATTTATTAATTTCAATCCCCACAATGCAGTATATTTAAAATTTTCAGCAGTAAACTTTTACAAATGTCAGCAGTACTAGCACAGCTCGCCCACGACGAATTGTTTAAAAAATTGATTTCAAGTTTTAACTTTCACTGATAACAACTCAAACTAAAATAACAGGTTTCAAATTTTCTTTTAACCTGGTCGGAAAGGAATTATATAATAATCCCAATTAACCAACGCAGCTTACTAAACACCATAAAACACAAACTAACAGCATGACTAAGAAAAGAAAACCCACAGTATCCAAACTGGATTAAACTAGATTAAAGAACTGATAGTTTATTCTTTTGAAGACTATTGATAAGTCTAAAAAAGAAAGCCGAAAACACCAAAAAGTCGAAAGACAAACCCAAACCAAACAATTTGATTTTTAAGAAAAGGACACAACTAAAACAAAAAATGGAAAAAACCAGAAACAAACGCGACACAAAAGGTTAATACAAAACAGGACCCCATAAAAAACCAGCATGAAATCAAACCCTCACTCCTGGCCTAACCCACCAGAAGAGGACGACCACTGAGCATGCTTAATAGCCGGCCTAACCCACCGTGCTAGAATTCACGCTTTGTGACACACTCCTTATTTTTGATAAGAGGTACTCAAGTGTGAGTAACTCTTTTAAAATAACTGAACTAAAATTAAAAGATTTTGCGCTAAAAACTAATAAAAAATCATAACTAAAAAGAAGGACTAACTGAACATTTATTTATGTAAATTATATTTTGCAGTAATATGGATCATACACAATCACGAAAATGAGCATCAAGCAGCTAAGACGACCTCATCACACACAACCTATAGAATGGCTGAACACAACCCATATGCCGCTCACAACCACAACTCAAAGGATTTGAAGTACGGCTTGACTCTGAAGCAAAGGGCTTCATTGAAACAGACCAATGACCACCTCGATGTTCAAGTATAGGTACAGATCCGAGTTACAGGGCATTCCCTCCAAACTCGAGCTTCACGCCATTCCCAATTCAGATCGAAACATAGTTTTCCATGTACAGACGATCATAACAAACCATCTTGAAATCAGATTGATTTTGTTGACGGTCTCAGTCATCGTTGAATGACAAAATGAAATCTACGATTCCAGTTTCCTGGAGCTTCTTCCCCCAAGAATGGAATAGAAATGATGCTCGCGAAATACGAACGATCAATCATCCATCCTCCATTACAGAAATAAGTCAAAGAAACAAAAACTCTGTAAACCCCGGATGGGTGGAACCTGATCCAAACTATATATAATATTATTGGTTTTAAATTAGGTATTTTATCCCTATAAAATATTGAAGATTAACCAGTCATACTCCATCTAACTATCAACCCATTTATTGGTAAGTGCTGAAATTACTTGTAATTTCAGCACCAGAGCATTTTGAGTTTAACTTACAACCTAGTTGCTTTCTCCAAGAGACCGACTCGTATCAAACCAGTATACTCTAGATCTATATTGCTCAATCATACAAAAATTGAACGCTCATTAAGTATTTTCTACCTTTTTACTTAGAATCGTTTACTTGTTATTGTTCCAATTTTTGTAACAAAAGTGACGGAATATTTGTGCTCGGGGTGCGTTTTTTTCTTCAGACAATTTTTGTTTTTTTAACTAGCCATTTATGACGGAGTTTTTTCACATCATTCTAAATTTATAATTGTCCCAAACTTAAATTTTTTTAAAGTTATGGGGGTTTAAAACTGCCATTTTGGCCATTTTGGCCATTTTGGCCAATCTAGGACAATTAAAAGCGCCATATGCTTCGCGTTATTAACGCTTTAGCGAGATTTAATCCGTCTAAGAAATCGTTTCAAACTGGTTCAAGTAAGGTTATATGCCAAAAATGATTTGTTATTAGAAGCAAAATCTATCACTTTGTACTTAATATGGCGTGTGGGGGATGTTCACATGAAAAATCTCAAATTAAAAATAAACTTAACTTTATTGTTTTGCATTTAATTGTTTCATGTTATTACTGCTTCATAGACCTTAAAAGGCAGTCGGAACATTCAGGGCTTCGCCCTGATACGAGCAGTCTTGTTCAATTTCAACTTTTTTCTGCGAACTTGGATTTTTTTATTGTTAATACATTACGATATTTCTCAATTTTGGCCAAACTCTTCCAAAATGGCAAAAAAATTTCTTTTTTCATAAAATGACCAAAAAACCCTAACCAAACGCTCTCTTATCTGAACCGACGTGGTAGAAAATTAAAGTAGGAAAATTCATTTTAGTTGATTTGAATTGGTTTTTAAAAATTTATGAATTTGATAAAGTCAATGGATTATAATCGATTTTTTTATTCCTTTTTGTAGTGTGAATGCAACATGGGAATAGATTATATTGATAATATTTTAGACCTCAAAGATCCATTTCAAATCATTTCTTCTCTTTTTTTCTTAGATGCGGGATAATTTTATAAAACGAAAAAAATGCTCATACAGTTTCGTGCAAAATCATAGGCAAAAACTTAATTCGCCATTGCTAAAAAATCAGCACGGATTTCAGAAAAAAACTATCTGCCAAAAATTGGATTTGTAAACAGCACCAAGGAGGATCCTGTGGGTTATCAGAAGACGAGGCCGTCAATGCCCCTCCCTCAGCTAATGTATGTTTTTTATTGAGCAATTTTATAATGGAATTTTTTTGGGTAATTCAGTCTTGGCAAATTTTCTCTGATAATCTAGTCTGCGAACGCAAAAAAAGTTGTCCATCTAGGTGCAAAGTGATCACACGTGAGGCCCTGAGTTCCATGGTCGGCTGCGGAATTGGAATGTGTTCCCTTGCATGTGTGTTTGATGCCTCCACTACACCCGCGAACTACCCAAAGATAGCGGATCGAGGGTACCCCGACGTGTTCGCTGTGCCCGACTGGGGATCGTGGCATTTCGCGCCCTGGTCGGGAAGCGATACTGGGTCGAGTGTAAGGACTATTAGTAGCAATGAATTGTTTCCATATTAGAGATTATTCAACAGACAATTGTCAATTTAAATAATTCTGATAAGTAAGTACATAGAAGAAGGTCAGATAGCCCATGAAAAAATTCTCATACAATTTCCTGCAAAATCATAGACAAAAACTTAACTTTTTTTTTCATTTTTTTATCAATTTGTTCTCTTTCGTCGCTCTTTATTTGCTGATTTGATCTGTTCAAGCATTTTTCATGATAACAAGACTGCTCGTATCAGGGCGAAGCCCTGAATGTTCGGACTGCCTTTTAAAGTTTATGGAGCAGCAGTAATAACATAAAAAATTAAATGAAATAAAATAAAATGAAATTTTTTTTTCTAAAATTTAAAATCTTTTATGAAAATCATCCCCCCACACGCCATATAAAGTATAAGAAGATAGATTTCGTTCCTTGTAACAAATCAATTATGGCAAATAAGCTTCGTTCAACCAATTTGGAACGATTTAAATGGCGGATTAAACCTCCGCTTACGCGTTAATAGCGCGAATTATATCGCGCGTTAATTGTCCCAAAGTGGTCAAAATGGCCAAAATGGCAATCTTTAAACCCTCATAACTTTACGCAAAATGATCACAGGCAAAATATTTTTTCAAATTTAAGCTCAGGACAACAATGGCTTTTGAATGATATAAAAAACTTCCGTCAAAAATGGCTAGTTAAAAAGTCGAAATTTGTCTGAAGAAAAAAAAAACCCAGCCCGAGCACAAATATTCCGTTACTTTCGTATCGAAAGTCGGAACAATAATAATTTTATAAGACTATTATTATCATAAAAGATGTTCGAACAGATCAAAACTATATGAAATACAAGACTGCTCGTATCAGGGCGAAGCCCTGAATGTTCCGACTGCCTTTTAAGGTTTATGGAGCAGTAATAACATTAAAAAATTCAATGAAATACAACAAAATGAAAAAAAAAATTTCTAAAATTTGAAATTTTTTTAATTAAAATCATCCCCCCACACGCCATATAAAGTACAAATGGATAAATTTCGCTCCTTGTAACAAACCATTTATGGCAAATAAAGCTTCTTTTAACCAATTTGGAACGATTTCTAAGACGGATTAACTCTCCGCTTACGCGTTAATAGCGCGAAATATATCGCGCGTTAATTGTCCCAAATTGGCCAAACTGGCAATCTTTAAACCCCCGTAACTTTACAAAAAATGACCACAGGTGAAATATCTTTTCAAATTTGAGCTCAGGACAACAATACCTTTTGGATGATATAAAAAATTCCGTAAAAATGGCTAGTTAAAAAGTCGAAATTTGTCTGAAGAAAAAAAACCCACCCCGAGCACAAATATTCCGTTACTTTCGTATCGAAAGTCGGAACAATAACAAAAAGGATAGCCAAACTGCTTTCCAAGTTGCATCGAAGATCCCGACCACCACGATGCAAGTAGGAAATACAAAAGTTAAAGAAAAAGGCTAGAACCTAGGCCAGAGTTCCATCCCTTCATGAAGTGGTCGGAAAAAAATAAAAGCGATAAACTACAGAAAACCTGAGAATTATCTTTTCTTGAAAAGATCATTTTTTAAACTTTTTTGCTGTACTTCTTTCAATTTTTTAATATAATTTGAAACGCGCTGATTTTCGGCTCACGTTTTGGCATAAGATTTCATAAATGGTCTGTCTTATTTTGCTACTTCCAGCTCGTTTTGTTTCAGTTTATTTCGTTTTTTCAGCATTTTTATTGTCCAGTTACTGTTTCGCAGGTAGCCGAAGTAATGGTGGAGCTGCATGAAAAGGACGAAGCTTCCACTCCCTGTGGATTCGACGTGCGACACGTCTGTTCAACCATGGTTGATCGATTGAAAAGCGAATTCGGCTTAGAGCTCTATTCGGCCTTGGAGTATGAATTTGTAGTGCTAAAAGACAGACAGAAGATGAACGAAGGACCTCATATCTACTCGCCTGTCCGAATGAAGAAAATGGAGAAACTCTGTTTCACGGTTAGAAAATCCTTTCTTTGCTCAATCGAATGGAAACGAGCTGAAAGAACTAGGTTAAATCTGGAAGAATACTCAGTCACTCTGGAATCGTGGTGTCAAATCAATTGTTTTCAGTCAAACCGTTTTTTCCTTAAAAAATAATGGGCGGGACATTTTTCTGGAGAAGATAGTTATTGTTTTATTGTACTCGTTAAACTAGTAGTTAATTGAAACAGAGAAAGCAGATTATCCTGGCAAGGTTCAAAAAAAGTAGGGTTAAGAAGTGTGAAATGTGATAAAAAAAAGGTGAATTCTTTAGGCGACAGAGAGACTGAAAAAGGCGGGCATAATAGTTGAGGCCATGAACCCAGAGTTCGGACCGGGTCAGTACGAGATGACCATGCAGCCGGCCATGGGAGTGAAGGGAGCAGACAATGCACTGATGTTCAAACAGTGTATCCGGGAGACAGCTATGGACCATGATCTATGGGTCACTTTCATGTCATGTCCTTTTCCAAGTATGTACTGCAATAGGCACAGACAAGGGACCAGGAGGGGGTAATGTTCAGAAAAAAGGCTTGACAGAAATTTTCTGTATCATGAAAGGTTTTGTTGTCCTGAGCTCAACTTGGAAATTTTTTTTTACCTATGATCAATTTTCCTAAGGTTATGGGAAGGCGCGGATCTAGGAGTTTCTCGAGGGAGGGGCAGATTTTCAAAAAAAAAATTGAAAATTTTGTCGACCTTTTTTCTTTTTTGGTCGACTAAAGTTTGATCAAATTTTCTGCGCCGCAGGCAATCTTTTGAAAAAAGCCCAAAACAGCGTTTTTTCGGCGCGCGCTACACCCTCAAAATAAGTATAGAGTGGCGCCGACGGCGTTTTAGAAAATTTTTGGGGTCGTCAGCAAATATGGATACCTCAAAATAGTACCATTGGGTCGGCAGGGGGTCGAATCCCCGAGAAAAAGGTATATGCCCCCGCCCCCCTCACCCTAAGTCCGTTACTGGTTATGGGGGTTTAAAGATTGGCATTTTGGCCAATTAGGGACAATTAACGCGCGATATATTTCGCGCTATTAACGCGCAAGCGGAGATTTAAATTTAATCCGTCTTAGGAATCGTTCAAAATTGTTTAAAGCAGTCTAGTTGTCAAAATTTCTATGCTACTAGGAGCGAAATCTATCATTTTACTTTGCACATTAAACGCTTTGAGTTTTAAAAGCATCTCAAATTCAAAAAAAAATCATCAATTCTTATAAAAAGAACACTGCTTCATAGAACTTTATACGGCAGTGAAAGCATTCAGGGCTTTGCTTGATACGAGCAGTACTGTATCAACTAGTACTTAACATAGCGTGTGGGAGGACGATTTAAAAAAAAATTCAAAAAATTTTTCGAAACTTTTCATTTTCTTGTGATTTTAATTTCGCGGTTTCTTACAAATTGTTGAATACTCAATTCTGATTGGCTGAAATTAGTTTTGCACCATTAGTTTTTCCGTTTTCTCGATTATAACGGACATCACACATAAGGGTAATAGACAGGTTATTTTCAGGATTATATACAGATTTGAAGCAATGAAAACTGTTTTTTTTTGTGACCAAATCATTTCATCTACTAAATTCGTTTTGTGTTCGCAAAATGGCTGTAGATTTTCTTTTTTATTATAAGAAGTCTATTCTAATCAATTTTTATCATTTGCAAGAAACAACGTGCTAAAAAATCAAAAAAGCATTAAAAAGTTTAAAAGACGTTAATCGATTGATAATTTCAGGCATTGGGTTCTCGGAAATGTGAGCAGTCGCCCTATTTTTGGGGTATGAATTAACTTCCATCATCTCAAGACTGGCGAATTTTAACCTGTTCTAAATTTGGAACTTTCAATAAATCAGATTCAAATACAGGGTGTTTCAAATAAACTGTAATTTTATAAAACGCTATAACTTTTTTTTGAGAAGAGATAAATACACAATTTTTTCTGCACAAGATAGATAAGTGGCGGAGATTTGAATATCTGATAAAATTGTTTTATAAAAGATGCTGAAAGTGTCCGCCGTTTTGAGCAACACAGCTTTGTAATCTTTTCGTCAAATTTCTCAATGACTCTTCGATATTATCGGGCGTTATTGTATTTCGGGCATCTTCTACAGTTTGCATGAGTTCGTCAAAACTTCGTGGATTCGCACCATGAACAATTTTCCCCAGATGACCCCACAGCCAAAAATCCAGGGGATTCAGGTCCGGACTCTGAGGTGGCCAGGGTATAGGGGTTCGTCTACTTATAATTCTGTCGTTGAACTTTGTCCCAAGCCAACTGAGTACGCGTCCCGTGCAGTGACATGTGGCTCCGTCTTGCATAAACCATATGCGCCTCAAGTTTCGTCGTTCTCGAAGGACTGGCCAGAGGTCGTGTTCCAGCATGTTCAGATACGAAAACTGGTTCAGTGTTATTGGTCGTTGCTGTTCGTCTACGAACCAAAACGGGCCAAGAACAGCTCCTTGAAGGAAACCCATCCAGCACATCACTTTCTTTTTGCCCTGGTACTTGCACTCCGCGTATTCTCTGGGGTTAACTAAACTCCATCTCCTATCGTTTTGAGAATTTGGAGAGCTGTCGAGCACCCACCACTTTTCGTCTGAGAAAATCACCCGTGAAATCTGCCGCTGTTTCAATCTTGCTCAAGCACCAGACACCAAAAGTAAGTCTCAAGCCGAAGTTCGTCTCTTTAATTTGGTGTGTTTTGAGCACTTTGTAGGGCTTCATTTTGGCAGCTCTCGCGAATCTCCAAGTTGTGGTGCGGCTCAACCCCAAATCAGCTGCTGCTTTAGTTATTGAATCTTTAGGATGAAAATCAAAGTGTCTTATAATACTGGCATTCGCTTCATCGGTTCCTGGTAACCCCGTTCCTTTTCGATGCTGCCCTTGAAATTTCGATAACCCGCCTCTTTCTTGGAACCGTTTCCACACTCTGATAAACTGCGTAAGTTGAAGTGTTGATGCAACGCGTGGGGCAATGTAATATTCATTGATATATCTTCTCCGAACTTCAGTTGGGGATTCATAAATTGCAAAC